TATAATTGGTTGAGTTCAGACAATAATGTAGCATCTGTTGTTATAGTGTGCAGGGAAATGTCAAAATAGAAGGCAAGCATACAGGTGGATTAAAGGGAAGAACAGGAGGAGAAACCAGGAAATATCACGTTAAGTTCTGATTTAAAGTAGGTGCAGAGGGATTATAATAACGATAATGATAACAACAACAACAACTGTCATCTGTTGAGCACCGTATTACAGCGTGAGGTTCAATGCTAGGCACTTATTGAGTGCTGGCCATGTGTCAGCACTTGCTAGATGTTTTACAAACATTACTACATGTTATACAAAAAAAATTGTGAGGAAGGTATTATTGGCCCTATTTATTATATGGGGTAACTGAAGTTCATAAAGACTGTTACATGCCTATGAGTCAAGATTTGAACCTCTGTCTGTCATACCCAAAGCCTGTTTCCTAACCATACATAGCATTTAATTGTTAAAGTTTTTTAAACTGCAGTGTTAGCAGTCAGGATAGTGATTAACTTTGAGAAAGATAATTTTCAGGAAGGGGCAAAAGGACTTTTGATGGCCAGTTATATGGGTATGTTCACTTTTTGAAAATTTATCAAGTTGTATACTGTTGCACACTATCTATATACATTGTACCTTTTCATAGCATATTTCAATAAAAAACTTTAAAATGATAGAACATATGGCTTTGAACAAAACATAAAGTTTTATACAGTATGTCACTGATTAAAATTTTGCTTAAAAAAGATTTAAATATATATTTATATAAAACTATGCATGGAAAATTGATGGAGAGTGGGATGAAGAAAAAGTTTTAGAAATAAATGGTGGTGATGGTAATACAACACGTAAATATACTTAATGCCACTAAATTATACACTTAAAAAATGGTTTAAAAAATTAATGGTTTAAAAAATCAAATGGTAGCAGTGGCTATCTCTGGATGGTGAATCTGGAAATTAATTGTAATATTTTTCTTTTTCCAAAGGTTATATATTACTTTTATAATCAGGAAAAATATTTTTTTAACTCAAAGACATAGTTTTAAGTTTTTATTTTAATTCCAATTACTTAACACACAGTGTTATATTATTTTCAGATATACAATATAGTCATTCAGCAATTCCATGCATCACCTGGTGCTCATCACAAGTGTACTCCTTAATCCCCATCACCTGTTCAGCCCATCGCCCCACCCACCTCCCCTCTGGTAACCATCAGTTTGTTCTCTGTAATTAAGAGTCTGTTTCTTGGTTTGTCTCTTTCTCCCTCTCATTTTTTTCCATTCGCTCATTTGTTTCTTAAATTCCACATATGTGTGAAATCATATGGTATTTGTCTTTCTCTGACTGACTTATTCCACTTAGCATTATGCCATCTAGCTCCATCCATGTCATTGCAAATGGCAGGATTTAATTCTTTTTACGGCTGAATAATATTCCATTGTATATATACGCCAGATCTTCCTTATACATTCATCAATTGATGGACATGTATGCTGCTTCCGTATCTTGGCTATTGTAAATAATGCTCCTGTATAAACATAGGGGTGCATGTATCCCTTTGAATTAGTGTTTTTGTATTCTTTGGGTAAATACCCAACAGTGCAATTGCTGGATTATAGGGTAGTGCTATTTTTAACTTTTTAGGAACCTCCATATTGTTTTGCAGGTGGCCACACCAGTTTGCATTCCCACAACAGTGAAAGAGGGTTCCTTTTTTTCCACATCCTCGACAACACCTGTTGTTTCTTGTACTGTTGATTTTAGCCATTCTTGACCAGTGTGAGGTGATATCTCATTGTAGTTTTGATTTGCATTTCCCTGATGGCAAGTGGTGATGAACATCAGCCATAAAAGACATAGTTTTAAAGAATCACAGTGTTAGAAATAGTCAAATGATCCCATTTAACAGTTTAGAAAATATATATAACTCTAATCCACAGAGGTGGTTTATTCCTACAAGCAACTTTTGGGTAGCCCTTAAGGAACATGTATGTTGAAAATTAGTCTGGAAGTTGATGCTGGAGGGAGTCATACCTCAGAGAAAGGAGTGATGAGTTCTTGGTTACTAGGAGTAGAGCCCCTGAGATTCAGATTCTTTTAGCATTTATTTAGCACATGCTGTGTACTTATCACCATACTAAGTACTTTCGCATGTATCATTTCAGTTAACATGTTAGTTTATTCCTTCTCTTATCAAATACATATTGAGCATATATTTTGTGCTATATGCTACTCTTGCAATAAGCAGTAAGACATTTTCCATACTCTTAAGGAACTTGTAAGCTAGTGAGAAAGCCAGACATTAAACAAATAACTATGGTACAGTATGGAGAATGCTGTAATAGACATAGTACAACTGGAATTTAATTTTGATATACACAGGTTTATCTATTCATTGGGTTATTAATATATGACAATATTACTAAAATAACTTAATATTTGAAAATGTTCAGCTGAAACTGGTTGCTGATCAGAACACCAATATTAAGTAAATTCCCTCATGCTAGCCAAAGAAGGAAAGAAAGGAAAGGAGAAAAGGCAAGAGTAACTGGTTTAACTTTCTATTATTCTGATTTTTGAATTATATTTCTTATGTCTCCATTTCTGGGTTATCAGTTCCCCCATATAAAAAACAAGAATATAGGACTATTTAACCAGTGCAACCCAAGCAACCATTCACTAAAGCCTACTATGTATCCAACACCACACTAGGAACTTCACATATATCGTGTTTGTAATTCCCATCTTTTATTATCCCCTTTAAGGTAGATGGTATTATCCAATGCCTCAAGAAAGAAAATGACTTCAGAGTCATAGAGAAAAATAGCTTTCACTATACACTACAGAAATTCTTTTTTTTTTTTTAATGTTTATTTATTTTTGACAGAGAGAGAGAGACAGAGCATGAGTGGGGGAGGGAAAGAGAGAGAGGGAGACCCAGAATTCAAAGCATACTCCAGGCTCTGAGCTGTCAGCATAGAGCCCGACTCGGGGCCTGAACTCACAGACTGCGAGATCATGACTTGAGCCGAAGTCAGACGCTCAACCGACTGAGCCACCCAGGCGCCCCTATGCTACAGAAATTCTTAATGGTTTTTTGAAAACCAGTATTAGAACCAACCAAATTATCCTGAATGACACAAAATTAGTTTCTTATCTATATTGGTGTCTGAACAAACTTTGTTTCTTTGCTGGTTATTTTAAACACATTTTTTCTTCCACCCTGTTTTCCCCACCCTCTATAGGTTAACATTTTTATGTGTTTCTTTTTATTTGTAGAAGCTTATTGATTTTCTCCAAAGAACCAGCTTATTTATTGGTTAACTATATATTTTTTTTCTAATGCATTCCTGTATGCTTTAGCTTTATTATTATTTTCTTCTAAGCTTTTTTCCCACTTACTTTATTGGCTTTTTCCCCCTAGTGTTTCCCCCTAGTCTTTTTTTTTTTTTTTAAAGTAAGCTCTACACCCAACATGGGGCTTGAACTTACAAACCCCAAGATCAAGGGTTGCATGCCCTGCCAACTGAGCTTATTTTTGTTCTTTCTTTTCTGATAATAGAAGAATTTTAAGGCTATGAATTTCCTCTGAGCACTGCCTTGGATGAATCCCATTAATTCCAACATGATGGATTTCAACAATCATTGTTTTCTAGATATTCTGTATCTTTTATTTATAGTTCCCCTTTATTATTTATAGTTCAGTTCTGTGCTGACAGTGTGGAGCCTGCTTAGGATTCTGTCTCTCTCCCCCTCTCTCTCTGCCCCTCCCCAGCTTGTGCTCACTCTCTCTCTTTCCCTCTATCAAATAAACTTTTATAAAAAAATGAAAATTGCTGTTGAGGATTTAGAGAATATAAATTCCAATTTCTCTCATTCATGTTACTTGGTTATAATAGTCACAGATAAATTGAAGGACTATTTTGTTTTTCTATTGATGACAAATTGGGAACATGGAAATGTCAAAGTAACCAGGCAAGAATATAAATATAAGGCTGAGCATACTAATGGCAGGCTTACTTATAAGATGCCTCCCGAGTACCAGAGACAAAAAGGTTTTAGTGAATTTCTGCCATAGATTCCTATATCAGAGACCTTCTAATTTCCTTCCAATGGAGTATCATGAATATGAAACAATGCAATACTGTAGGTTGTGAACTTGGAAACCTAGGTTCAGCCCAACTCTAGCCATCAGATCTCAACAGTTTACTCCATCTGTTTAAGTCTGTATTTTTACCTGTGAAGTGAAGAATTTTGGCCATCTCTAGGTCCAGAAATTGGAACTTGGCCAAGTCCCACAGCAAGTTAGTGACAAGGCTGAAAATAGGTCTACGGTCTTCTGCCTCCAATAAAGCTAACATTTGAATTTCTTTTCATTCCATTCCACTTTGTTTTTATTGTAGTAAAATATATACAACAGAAATTTGCCTTTGTAACCATTTCTAAGTGTACAATTCAGTGGCATTAATTATATTCACAATGTTGTGCAGCCATCACCACTATTTCCAAAGTTGTTCATCACCTCAAGCGAATCTTTCCAGTCCATTTTCATGTTCATATAATATCTAGTATTCTACAAACTTTTCAGTCATTTTGACTTGGAAAATGTATGCTTTTCAAATATATTATTTACTTGTATGTCTTTTGTAAATGCTTCTAATAGCCTTAATTCATAACCTACAAAGGAGGCAATTTGGGTATTTGATACCCATGAGCCCTTCAGTAAAAAACAAATTACATTTCTTTTCTATGTGGTTACCTATCAATTTACTAATATGCCATTAAAGTGGGATTTCTTTTAATTAATTGCTTATTGGGCTAATATTAAGAAAATGAAAAATACATGATTCTATTGTTCAAGCATCAGGCTTGGTTAATAAAGGGCAATAACTTTTTGATGAGTTTCTAGAAAGCAGCAGCTTCTTTCTAGTCTCTCCCTGCCCCACTCTCCACAGTCCTTTCTGTTACACACTTTGACACCTGATTTTTTTCCCTCTTTAGGCCATTCGACTCTCCTTAGAGCAGGCCCTGCCTCCAGAGCCAAAGGAAGAAAATGCTGAACCTGTGAGCAAACTGCGGATCCGGACCCCCAGTGGCGAGTTCCTTGAGCGGCGGTTCCTGGCCAGCAATAAGCTCCAGATTGTCTTTGATTTTGTAGCTTCCAAAGGATTTCCATGGGACGAGTTCAAGTTACTGAGTACCTTTCCAAGGAGAGACGTAAGTTCACATGCCTATTTTAGGAAATATGTCCAGTGGGAGATATCCCATCATTAGGGTTGGACAAAGTAGTCCAAAAAAAGTCCAATGGTACAGCCTACTACAAGACCACATGCCTAGGAGTACTTTGTTGCACACACCATTCTCTTCTCAGCCTTTGGAGGAGGTATGTCTTCCCAAGCCAACAGACATGTCCCAGGAGCCTATGTGAGAAATTAGGTACTAAATCTTTCTTCCTTCCTAGCTATTTCCCCTATTCAAGCGTCTGTATACAGACTCAAGATCTTTCCCAAGATCTCATCTCTATATACCTCAGAGTAGATCTGAGAATTGTGTGCTTATCAGCTTAACAGTTTGATCAGGGTCAACAATTATAGGTTCACTAGAACAAGTCCTGCTAAACCAAGAGTTTTTTGTGATTTGACAGTTTTTGCTATCCTGGAAAGTCACAGAGAATGACTTATACTCATTATGTATCTGTATTTCAGCAAAGTATTTGATAGTCTCTAATGTATTCTGGGGCAAAATAGAGATGTAACTCTATACTTAGGTAGTCTCATTGCTGACTAAATGGTGGTGTCCAGAAAGTGACACCTAGAGTAGACCAGGAAGTTCTATATTCAATCCTTTATTACTCACCATGCTTTTAAGACTTTATCAGATTTATAGATTATGAAAAACAAGATTTAAAAAAAACCTTAAAATCCTAAAACAATAGACAAAAATAAACCTATAGAAATTTTACAGAAATATTTAGAGATAGATTCCCACATTAGATTTAGAAAATTAATTACTCATGTTTGGCCTGGAAAGACCATGCCTTAGCAGAAGTTATTGTTGAATTGAGCTGAATAAGCATTAATGTGTTGTGGCTGCTAACAAAATGCTAGATGCATTTTTAGAGGTATAATCCCAACAAGAAGATAATTTAATGGTCCTGTTCAACTGTGTACAAAATAAACTCTCCCTCAAACAGTCCTTAGACTCCATGCTGAAGCCTGAAGAAAAAAGAGCATGTCTAGAGCAGAGCTGATCGGAAGATGAGGGAACTGGAAATCCTGTCATTTGAGGAACATTTCCTCTGGAGATGGAAAGGCTATGGGAGACATGATTGTTGTCTTCAGTTACTTGAAGGGCTGCCATGAAAAAGAGAGATCTTACTTTGTAAGGCTCCAAAGACGGAACTGGGACCAGTGATTTCAAAGTTACAGGAGATGAATTTGGCCCCATATAGGGAAGTATTTTCTAAGAAGGGAACATCTTGGGTCATGAAGTAGTGATTTTCCTGTCATTGGAGATAACCATGCACTACTGAATGATCCCTTTCCAGCATTACTGGACATACATGGGGAAGGATTCATTCCTGATGTTCCTACTTTAACTGGGATAGGGCTTAGACTAGCTTACCTCTAGGATACATAGTAAATCTTAATATTCTTTGATTCCATTTTGATCCAATAATGTAAACTCTAATAACTTAGACTTCATCTAAAACACAAAAGCAAGAATTTAATTAAGGTTCATCTTAGTCCCTCACAGTGGCTGTCAGATTTGCAGAGTAGAGACAGAAATCAGTGGTATATGTTTAGCTCTACCACTCAGCCACAAAATCCCTAGGTGGGATGAGGATCCTACTACTTATATCTCAGCCAAGGACACTGGAATGGACTCCAGGTGCTAGCCATTGGTTCCTCTCTCACTAGCCCCACCTACTGCTCCAATCTCTTCCTCTTTGTTATATATAATACACACAAACATGTCCCAGGGAACACATGCATGTACGTGCTCTGTGGACTGCATGGCCAAGTAAAAAACTACTTGAATTCTGAAACTGAAGTTAAATTCTAAGTGTGTGAACACTTAGGAAAGAACCCCTGTCAAGGGGTTCAAGATCAGCCTGGTTCTCATACTTATGTTCTGTGATGAACATCTCTCTTAAAGAACTTACAAAACTTAGGAACTAACTTAGTCCCTCCCAGCTCTTGTTTGTTTGTTTGCTTGTTTAAATTTAAGTATAATTAACATATAACCTTATATCAGTTTCAAGTGTACAATATAATGATTCAATATTTGTGAACATTGCGAAATGATAGCCACAGTAGGTTTAGCTAATATCCATCATCACACATAGTTACAATTTTTTTTTCCCTTGTGATGAGGACTTCTAAAATCCCAACCCTTGGTTTTAAGGCACTCCTCTTCTGGGCCTTTCATCTGAAAGTGAAAGTACTAAAAGAGAGAAAGTCTAAGGAACTGCTGGCTTTTAAAATTAAACTTTTTTTTTTTTTCAAATTAATTTTTTTTTTTAATTTTTTTTTTTCAACGTTTATTTATTTTGGGGACAGAGAGAGACAGAGCATGAACGGGGGAGGGGCAGAGAGAGAGGGAGACACAGAATCGGAAACAGGCTCCAGGCTCTGAGCCATCAGCCCAGAGCCCGACGCGGGCTCAAACTCACGGACCGCGAGATCGTGACCTGGCTGAAGTCGGACGCTTAACCGACTGCGCCACCCAGGCGCCCCTCAAATTAATTTTTAACCCAATTACTGGGAGTAGCGTGGGGGGAACAAGCTCTAAAAAAATTTTTTTTAATTTTTTAATTTATTTTTGAGAGAGACAGACAGACATAGGAGCAGGGGAGGGGCAGAGAGAGAGGGAGACACAGAATCCGAAGCAGACTCCAGGCTCTGAGCTGTCACCACAGAGCCCAACGCGAGGCTCAAACCCACAAACCATGAGATCATGACCTGAGCCGAAGTTGGACGCTTAACCAACTGAGCCACCCAGGCACCCCTTTTTATTTTAATGGTTTTTTTTAGTTATTTTTGAGAGAGAGAGAGAGGAACAATCTCTAAAAAGGCTGAGTTTTATGGTTAGTATTAATGACTATATGGTAGAAATGTAGACTGTACAAAGTTGCTGTTGTAAATAAGCAAGGAACTGTGAAGTGAAATGCAGAGGTTTTTGGGCCTGCTATCTGCCCACCTTGAGCTCTACTGACTGAACACTCAGCCTTTTCAGTACAGACTATGTTAACTATGGATTTGCCCTAAATCGAGGGTTAGTCACCTAGTTTTAGAGAAAATTTACTCTTTTTTTAATGTTTATTTATTTTGAGAGACACGGGGAGAGTGCAAAGGGTAGGGACAGAGAGAGAGGGAGAGAGAGAATCCCAAGCAGGTTCCATGCCCAGTGCAGAGCTCGACCCAACACAGGGCTCGATCTCACAACTGTGAGATCATGACCTGAGCCAAAATTAAGAGTCAGATGCTCAACCGACTGAGCCACCCAAGCTCCCCAAGAAAATTTGCTCTTCATTTAGATCTCAAGCATTCACTCTTTACACTGCTGAAGAATGCTATTCAATCTCGTTAACAGGCTCTTCTAATGTTCCTTTCATACCTAACCCCATTTCTATCTCAAACCCTATCCCAAGGCCAGTTTAGATCAAGTTGGGCCCAGCTCCCCAGAGGAAAAGTTTAACCAGAGGCTTGCTTCTGTAAGAGGATTTTTCTAAAAACCTATTCTGATCATTCCCTTTCTTGTTTAAAACAAACAAACAAACAGAAAACCTCATTAATAGCTCCTTATGGACCTAGGATAAGGATAGACCCATTGGAATGTTTTCAAAAACTCTCCATAATCTGACCCATACCTACCATTCCCACCTTAAGCTTTGCCTTTCATTACTTATTTCCATCACCAGGAGATGAGATTGCTCACTATTCACAAAAGACACGAGACTCTCTTGCCTCTTTGCTTCTGTATACTCTGTTCTCTTTTCCTTGAATATCCACTCTCCCCACTTTTCCTGGCTTGTTTGATGTCATCTTTTAATGCCCAGCTCAAATGTCATCGATGCTCTCTCAGAAGCCCTCCCCTTCTCCCAGGCTCCTCAGCTCTGTACCCATTGCAGTTTGTACATCCCTCTCTCATATCACTTTTCCTGTTGTTCTATGATTTCTTACAAAGGCTGTCCATATCATGTTCATGTCTATCTCCCCTGAAGTTCCCAGAATGGTACCTCACACATAACCATTTACTTGCTGTTGTGAAATGTTAATGATCTCGGTCTGTTCCTAAATCTCTGATTCCAGAGTGAACTAGAGAAGCTGTTCCAAATAAGAACAGATGCCATAGGCCCACCCAGATTCCAGACCCAGACCTAAACCCAGAAAGCCCACCCAGGACTCACTAGACCTCCTAGAGCCAGGGGTAGGGTGAGAGTTAATAGCCCTTCATCCTTTTCTAAATGCTCTTTCAAGTCAAATGACTAGTGTTTTTGCAAGGCTATTCTGTAACAGCCATCTGTGTCTGCAAGGATTAGGATCTAATTTGTAAAAGTCATCTTAAATTACAACCAAACTAAAGACTGTTAAAAAGCACATCTTAAGACCTCACCTCTTTAATAACAAATAACATAAGACTTAACTCCAGGAGTCTTATTGTGTCTTCAACCTTTTCTCCACAAAGCAGAGACTGATTTCTCACCATAGGATGGTAAACGTTCTCTGTGCCCCCACCCTCCAATCAAAACAATACTTCATGTTAAGATTTCCCAGCTGTCCAACTATTTACTAAATGTCTGGTGGGTATGCCACTGAATTAAGCACTGTGGGACAAGCAAAATAGCAGCAGACACAGGCCTTTCCCAGCAAAGCTGATTGTCAAGGTGCTGGGAACATTGAGTTATTTGATTTTTGTTGTTGTTTTGCTTTCTGTTTTGCTCATAACAGTTACCAAGAGAAGTAGTATTCACTACCAGAGCTTTAGTCATTAAGCCATACCTCTTGGATGTGTTAGAGCCATGTGAACATCAGTGGCCCATTTGCTTACTTGGGCAATGCAAGGTAGTTGGTAGTGACGTAGTTGAGTCCTAAAGTTAAGGAATGATCCTAACCCCTACTACTTACTACTCCCCCTGCCTCAGAGTCAGTAAGGGGCCCCTGCCATCTTCTCAGTTCCCCTCTGGACCTACTGGGTACTGGCCCAGTGCCACT